GCCCAGAAGGGGAAGAGCAGGAATCTTTGCTTCAATCTGATCGGGCTGAACCTGAGTTCCCATTTCAGTATGATCCCTCCTACCGGTCTGTGCGGGAAATTCGAGAGCATCTTAGGGCCAGGGAGAGTGCAGAGCCTGAGAATTGGTCCTGTAGCTGTATACAGTGTGAGCTTAGAATTGATTCTGAAGAGTTTGAAGAACTTCTTTTATTAATGGACAAAATTCGAGATCCTTTTATTCATGAAATATCTAAAATTGCAATGGGTATGAGAAGTGCTTCTCAATTTACCCGTGATTTCATTCGGGATTCAGGTGTTGTCTCACTTATTGAAACCTTGCTGAATTATCCCTCCTCTCGAGTTAGGACAAGTTTCCTAGAAAACATGATTCACATGGCTCCACCTTATCCGAATCTAAACATGATTGAGACATTCATATGTCAGGTGTGTGAAGAAACGCTTGCTCATGGTGTGGATTCCCTTGAACAGATGACTGGGATAAGGATGCTTAGACATCTCACTATGACTACTGACTATCACACACTGATTGCCAATTATATGTCCGGGTTTCTCTCCTTGTTAACCACGGGCAATGCAAGAACAAAGTTTCATGTTCTGAAAATGCTACTGAATTTGTCTGAAAATCCTATGGTGGCAAAAAAGCTATTCAGTGCCAAAGCTCTGTCAATATTTGTGGGTCTCTTTAATATAGAAGAGACAAATGATAACATTCAGATTGTTATTAAAATGTTTCAAAACATCAGTAATATTATAAAAAGTGGAGCATTGTCCTTGATTGATGATGATTTCAGTCTTGATCCGCTTATGTCTGCATTCCATGAATTTGAGGAGTTAGCTAAGGATCTACAAGTCCAAATAGACAATCAAAATGATCCTGAGGTGGGACAACACAGTTAGTATGGTTAACCACCTGCCGCTGATCAGCCTTATGTTCCCAAAGAACCCTGAATAGTGCTTTGGTGTTCACAGTCTGGCTTTATGTTGTAACAATTTTAATGCCTATGTTAACTTGTCAAACTCTTGTTTTGAGCTAGATTAATTTTTGGATGCCAAAATGAATATTAGAACTGAAAACACATTTGTTGATATTTGTCTTGCTGTCCAGATTGTGATATTTTTTCGTGTTGAGCTTCTGATGAGCTAATTCATCCGAGTATAAGCTACCCTGCTATTCGTTGTTTAAACATGTGGTTCTCTACTTGAGTCTGTGTTTTCAATAAAGTTCTATGTTAAAATTGACATAAGTGACCCTTCTTCACTCTGAAAACCAGGTTTAGCTACATTGTTCACACTTACAAGCATTGGTAATTAATAGTATAATAAATGTGCTCATTAGAAATTCCCATTCTTGGATCTTAAGAAAGGAGAGATTGTTGTGGGCCATGTTACTGCAAGAATGCTTCAAAGACAGGGACCCAGTAAAATTAGTCAATGAAGGATAGGATGAGACAAATCATTCTTAGAAAGTGGGCCATGATGGTGTGAAGAAAAGTGTGATTGGAAAACATTCAAATAGCATGAATGTACCCAATATGCCTGAATTAAGTGAAGGAGTTCAGTGAGTAATACAGTTAAGAAGATGGGATAAAGTCAGTTTTGAGGACCTGAGTAAACCAAATCTGCATTATATAATTCAAAGGACAGGTGTTAGTTCAATGTCACATAAAGAGTGAAAGAAAGATGCAACTAAATGGGCTCAGGTATAGGATTATCATTTATGATCCTAGTCCAAGGAAAGTATTAAGGAAATACCATGCAGCCATTAAAATAGTTATGTGTGGATTGATTTATTGATATTAAATGACATTGGTAATTTTATATTCAGTAAACTAGATAACAATGTGGTGTTATCTATGGAAGATTAGATCCAGTTTTTAAATGTATATAAATACAATTTCTATGCAGCTTCAATATGACTTATTAAGCAACTTCATATGTTCCACAGTATGGAATAAAATATATCATGGAAAAATTCTCAGAGACAGGCATTGAGGAAATTAAAAAACATCAATATGCTTATATCTAGTGCCTCAAGTTACAGGTGGACATGCAAGAATTGAGTTATATAAATGAATAAGTCATTTTTAGAGGTAAAATAACAGAAAAGTAAATGGATGTGGTTTCAGGAAAAACTAGCTTTTATATGAAATGTTTTAAAGAAAAATCACAGCTGATAAGTTTATATTAGTCTCTTGATGGTACAAAGATAACAACTTTTGCACATGATTATTACATTCAAACAATCATAACATTTCCTTTTTAGGTGACAACAAAGTTCTGGAACTAGACAGTGATGATGATTGAACAACATTGAGAATATACTTAATTTCACTGACTTATACACTTTAAAATGGTTAAAATGGGTAAGTTTTATGTTATGTGTATTATGCCACAATAAAAAAGACCATACATTCAGACAGAATAATTACAAACATCAGAGATAAAAGTGGATTAGAGAGAAAATCAAAACTTGTGGAAAATATCAAATGTTTTATTATTTTTAGATATGGAAAAATATTCTTATTTGTCTGATGCTGTCAATTTTCAAAAAGAAAATTATGACTCATATAAATTAAAATTTTTTTCAACACAACAAACAACTGCTGAGAGCAAGAAAATGGTTAAAGGAGATGTGTGTGTATACAATGTACACAATATAAAGATATAAGCAAAATATATTTCATAGGAAATTAAAAAATATTAGAATCAGATAAGATTGCTGAGTTAAGTATAAAACTGATTAATATCTTACAGGACAATAAATTGTAACATTTAATGTTATCTGTACCACTGGACAAATAATTTATATATCTATTGAACAAAATATCTACAATTTAACATTAACCTCTATGAAGTTGAAAAATAGTTCAATCAATAGAAAGTGAAACCCAGCACTGCACTGAAACAATATCCAGTAATCTATGTTGACTTTATCCGAATCTTGTATAATTTTCCTGACAGTCCAACAAAATTTTCTATACCTGACTATCATACAAAGGTGAATAGAAGTAGGGCAAAGTAGCAATTTAGCTTCTATTTGCAAACTGCAAATATTAACATGATTATCTTTGTGGTGGAAATTGGAGGTTGAATGTTTGTTTTGCTTATGAATTTTTTTCAACAGATCTTCTGTCAGTTCATGTACGTCTCTGTTTTAATACTTCCAATTATATAAAATACCGAAAATCAGTTCACCTCCCAAATCCTTATGGAACATTTCTCCCTGGCTGAGTGCTCCTAGAGAGCAAGGTCAGGCCTAGGACTCAAAACTTGGTTTTCTAATCCAGCCTTTCTTCCAGTTCTCTGTCTTCCCCAAGGTCAGGAGCTTCAGGTTCTTCTAGCAAATAGCTCAACCCCAGAAGCATAAAGATTCTGCCATCAAAGCTGCAGAGCTGCTGCAGTCAACCTGGCTGCTTTGGCATGTGAGGCAGACAGTGGGTTGTGTGGCCAAAATGTTGCATGGGCAGACAGAGTTGTGTTTATTTGCATGGAGAAAGAACAGGAATGACACACACCTGGCAAATGAGACAGATTGGATGAGTATCGGGGTATTTAGGTGGGTAGAAAATGGGTGAGGAGGTGTCTCTGCATGTGTCAGTAGCTTAAATTTCTCAGGTGATCAGAATTACATCATTTGTCTGTAGAGGAAACAATCCCTCATCCAATCACAAACATCTCAGTTGGATCTGTCTTTTGTCCAGGAGCTCAAGAGATGGGGAGTCATCCTGCAGGAAGCATCCATGCAGAGAAGCAGCAGTTGCTATTGGAGGAGGTGGGTGCAAGGCCAGGGAATGGCATCCTTGGGAGGTAGTGGCTGAGACTAGGGCTGGTACTTGAAATACCTTGGACTCTCCCACTCCCTCCTGCCTTCTGAACTCCCCCATTCCCAGGCTCTCTACTGTGTTTCTGTGTGTGGATGGAACAGGTGAGTATATGGACAGAGTTGGATTCAGGAGCCCAGATAGGGGAAACAGTGAAGTGACAATTTGTGAACACCTGTAGCTCTGGATCAGGAAAAGCAGTGCTAGGAATGAGAACTGTGAGCTATGCTACCACTCTTCCTTCTTTCATCATGTCAGTACTCCTTCTGTCTGTCTATTTCCTTAGTGACAGTATTCAGGCCATGGAGATAGCTGAGATCAACTTAACACTGGGAGAGGGGTGGTAGGAAGAGAGGGGAACACATCTTCCTTTTGCTTCAGGGTTCCAGCTGACTGGGGTTGCAAGGAAGGAATGAACCTCAAGCTGTGTGGATCTTTGGAAAGGGAGAGGAAACAAGGCTTAAGAGGAAGGAACCTAGCTGCTATGGGCTCTTCACATCTGATATCTCATTGGAATATTCCAAACTTCTCAACCCCCAAGAGGATTCCTGGGTCTCTGTCTCATGCAGCAGCTCTCTCCCATTTAGGAACACAAATTTGCTGATCTATGCAAGGCTCCCTGTTCCTATTGTCCTGGGCCTGAGAGGATGATCTTTCTGGGACTACCTACAGAAACAGTTTCATTGATAACATTATAAGTTCCCTCCTCACTGTTTTGCTCTCTGCCTATTTCTTAGAGGACTTGTTTCTTTGGATCCATCCTAGGTAGCTGTCACTTAATACTTCCTTGTCCTCTTTCTATCTCCCCCACCTCAATGCATCACTGGGTACCAAATGAAATAAAACTATTCCTCTGCTCATAACACTTCTGATATAAAATGTGTGGGTTCTTCACACTCTGTAGTTTTCCAGTTCTCTGAGGATACTAATTAGGTACCCTACAACTTAATAACTAACTACCCAGGGTTATGGGAGACCCCACTGGTTAAGGGCTCAGTCCCACAAGATTACCCTCAACTTTAGAAAACACAGATAGTGAATCTTCTCAGGTTATTCACAATTCTGCCTGACTTGGGTACTAATTAGGAGTTCCCACAGTCATCCTTAGGACTGATAATTTGCTACAAAGTCTACAGAAATCAGAAAAACACTTTACCTACTATTACCAGTTCATTATAAAAATATAAATGATATAAGTGAAAAGCCAGATGAGGTGGTACAAGGTATGGAAGGGTCCCAAGCGTAAGGGCTGCTGTCCCTTTGAAGCTAAGGTGCACCACTTTTCTAGCACATGAATGAAGTCACCAACCTGGAAGCTTGAAAATCCATCACTTAAGGTTCTTATATAAGTCACATTATATTGACATGATTGATTAAATCATTGACTGTTGGTGATTAACTCTTGTTTCCAGTCCCTCTCCCGTCCCTGGAGGTGAGAGTATGAAACTGAACATTCCAACCCTCTAATCATGTTTTGGGCTTTCTGGTGGCAAGCATATCCTGTAGTTACCTAGGGGGTCCAGTCACAGTTATCTCATCAGTATACTAATCTTACCTCACCAGAGATTCCAGGAGTCCTGAGGCCTTAGAAGTTCTTGTGTCAGAAACTAGGGAACTAAGACAAATTATGATAATAAAAGATGGTTCTATTGCATATATCTACCAATAAGGAAATTACAAGGGTTTGGGGAACTATGCCATAACTGGGTACAAATATTCCTGCCTCCTTTGTTACTTTTATTTTTTAATTTAGATGTAATAATTTTGCATATTTGTTATTGTTTGGATCTGAATTGTCCCCCTAAAAGTTCATGTGTTGAAAGCATGATGCCCAATATAGCAAGGTTCAGAGGTGGGGCTTTTGGGCAGTGATTGGAACTGTGACCTCATCAGTGTATTAATCTATCCTGTGGATTAATAATTTGAATCGACTACTAGGTGTAGTTCTGCCTTTCTTCTCCATCTTCCAAAACAGTTTTCCAACTCAAGGCAGAACTATAATGTGATAAAACATTTAAAGAGCCATTCACTCTCAAA